AATCAAATACATTTTTAATCTATTAATTAAACTACATTTTAAATTAAACTACATTTTAAATCAAACAATGAAATAACATAAAAAAGGAAATTCATCTTGTAGCATCTAAGCACTTCACAAAAAAAATATCCACTTACCTTATTTAGAAATTTCCGTCTTCAGTCCGTGGCACACAAAATTCATTAGCAAACTTTCTTCCAACCATGTTCTCTTTCTAATGGAACACTATATGGTGAGCATTCGAACCTTCGACTATACATACGCATTTCCTTCATATAAACAGGACACTAATAATTCCATTGAATTACACCCAACAAAGTTTTTTCTTCTGTCCTCAGCCACTTTCATTCTCTCGGTCTATACTGTCAACTATTATACCAAACATCCACTTTATTACCGGCAGCCATTTTACGATGCACAGCACACAAAATACTTCCTCACTGACATCAAGCAAATATTTTCCCATTAGTCAAATTCACCACAAGCATACAACCAATCATGCCATAATAGGGTTTCCACGACATTCAACTACTCAGGTTACCATAAATGAAACAACTTTGCAATAATCCAAGGAGCACCCTTAAATATATGTTAACCTTCTACCATTGACTTTCAGCTTCTTCCGTGATTTGCTAATTACTGTAACCCTTACGTCTGCCCAGGCTTTTTCAACTCAATAACCAACATCCATTGATTGCGTTTCAGATTTTCAAGCATGCTTTGCCTTTCTTAATTTTCTTCCACTGCTGTAGACAAAACAGCTTGTCTGGAAATTTTTTTTTTTTTTTTAAGAAAACTTGTGTTGAAGAAATGAATTCTTTTAAAACCAGTCTTTGAAAATTTCACTGCCGAACCATTCTCTTTTCTGTCTGCAATATTTTACAGGAAGAATGTTTTCTGAAACTGTTTTAAGGCTTTATTTAAGGACTTTTCACTTATTAGAAGGTCCATTTTTTAGATTTACTGTAGCGTTACTGCATACTCAGCCTTTTGTTGCTATGCTCTTAGCCAAGGGGCTGCCACACCAATTCTGGCTGCAAGACTCCGACTAGGTAACATTTTGTAATTTTGTCCTGGCTCATTGCAGGTAAATATCTGCTCATCCATTAGGATTTCGGTTTAAATTCATTTGTGAAATGTTTTCGTGGATGCTTCGAAATTTTTCTTCAGATTAACTCAAAATTCAGTAGTGTTTCGCCATGAACACTCCGCTGATGCATACCGTAGTGTTTCTTCAATCAGTCGAACTAGCTGAGTTTTGCTGTGGAATTTAAATCTCCTTCATTAAAAGTGTCGCCGAGCTATGCAAACCAAAGCTTTACACATTTTAATTTTTTGTTCTTTTAGTGCCCACTCTGTAACTCTTGATTAACTAACCGTTTTTCTATTTCTGCTGTTAATTTCCTTTCTTCTATTGCTACCTGTTAAATCTCAGAAATCGTCAACTACCATCTGCATTGTCTCTCCTTTATTTAGTTTCGTGATTGAAGTTTTCATTACATCAATACAGCTTTCTGTTGTGCCTGCTTATGCTCACTTGTCTGACGCAGTCAGCCCAAGCCCACAAAATTCCTTTTGGCAAGGAGCGTTCGATTATGCCTGTCATTGGCAATAGCCTTGAGCACCTAATGATAGTGCATTCAGTTCTGCCCCCAATTTGGATGGAGAGAACCCAGGTGGGGGTACGATGGTCTTTCAACCCTCTCCTCTTCCACCAAACCACATGAGAGGACTTTTGGCTTGCTGCATATTTAGAGCGCCACCATGCCGCACCTATATATTTACAAGCAACTATGCCTTCTCACGGCAGTCAGCAACGCTAACCGCTACACTGGTTGGGTGGCATACAGCTCTTTATCTTTCTGTGCTTGTGTAAATTTCAACTTTTGAACACCACACTGTTTGTCAAATTAGCACACACATACACATATGCATGAACAATAACAGACAATAAACCTATCCACAATGATGCTAAACGGGCCTGCACTGAATGACAAATACACGAGTCATGGTGCAGATGAGCACGCCACTTGGTGAGTTGCGAGCAACCCTTCCCCCCAAAAAAAAGACTATGTTCACAACTTGTTATTCTTGATGCTGATTGATGTTTCTTTTTTTGTATAGGAGACTGTATTGTCTGTAATATGATATATGTTATTGTTATTATAAATTTATATCTTATTTGTGGTCCACTTAAGCCTGAAAGTTGGCTGTCATCAAACCATGGTAGTTGGTAGAGAGACCTCACAATTACACAATTTGTTCCTATGGAATTCTGAGCCACACTTCTGGCTGCAATTCTTATAATAAGACATTAACCAGTCTCTGCCCAGTCCATGAAATAGCCATTGCTGAGCAAGTATTAAATCTGCTTCATTTTTGTGTTTCAGAAAAAGGCTTTTGTTGTTCTTTTTCCTATTTTGTTAGGCTCTGTTTAGAATGCCAAAAGATTTTGCCAGAAGCTCTGTTTAGAATGCTATTAGTATGGACTTCTTGCAGGTAATTGTTCTAGTCTATTACTGTTTTGTTGGCCATTCCTTCCCATTCAACAGATGAAAATTCTCTTGACCAGCTGTAAATAAATTAGAGTGCAGTTATAAATATAATTCTAGTTGGCTTATCAAAAATCGTTCAACATTACAAGAGGCAAAACTACTCGTTATGAGTGTGTTGTGATATCCTGTGTATGTACGATTGGTGCTGAATTGTGCTGCATGGTGAGTCTTGCAGTCAGTAGGATAATATGCAAGTATCCTTCATTTTTTGCATGAAGCTTTATATATGATTAGGGATGCTACTATCTAATTAGATTTCATGCCATTGTTTATGTTTGGCAGTAAGTGACACCCATTAACAGAAAAGTACCCTGGTAATTTTAAATGATATTTGCAATTTTATGTTGCAGATAAAACATAATGAAAGAGAGAATTTATTACTGCAACAAGGAAAATTACAATTTTTAAAATTTCTTCATAGGTTATATTTTAAATTAAAAAACTGTATGCCTATGAAATATCTTAATAGAAAATGTTTTTCTATGACATACTGTATCTCCTTGCAAATATTTTCCTCCCTTTTTTAACTGTTTTTATCATCCAAAAATTATACAAATAATCTTAATTTCCGCAGGACGCGGTTACAGTAAGAACATAACAAATGAAAAATAGTTGTGGATAAACTCCAATTATCACAATATTACTTATCGGTGGTTCAGTGGTAAAATGCTCGGCTGCCACGTGGGCGGCCCGGGTTCGATTCCCGGCCGATGCATTAAATGCGCATCGGTGGTTTTGAGATTCGGTGGTAATCCAAGTTTGTCGAAAGTGTGGTGATTCAGCAAAACATAATATCACATCTCATATCAATAAATCAAAATCAATAATCACCAATCAATAAAATATAAATTGATTTAATTAAATATAATAATATCTCAATCTCAGAAATCGCACATCATCCATCGAGTCTCAGCACACACTGAATGGTGCTCTCAGCGCCCTCTAGCGTTAGGTGGGTCTTATCAACTTATTTAAAAGAAGCTTGCGTCGCCCAGACGGTATAGTGGTTAGGGGAGCCTACTACGGTACCGAAGGGCCCAGATTCGAATCCCGGAGAAGACATTTATGTTTGTAAATATATATTGTCGGTGTGGCATGGCGGTAAATATGCCGCAAGCCGTAAGTCTTCTCGTGTGGTTTAGTGAAAGGGGTAGGAGACCCCCTGAATTCCCCCTCCCTTAAAACAGGGAGGAAAATAGAAGTCCAACTTCTCTTCGGGGGTAGGTTCTGTATTGTTCCATTTATTGTGTACGAGACAACAACAACAAAAGAAACTTGGGTTTCAATAAGAATGTAGATCCTTACAATATATAATAAAATATCCTAATTTCTTTTGCCCACCAGCTGACAAGTCATTAGATGCTGGTAGTTTGGTCCGGGGTTCAAATCCTGTCGAATGGGCTGGCTGTATGGATGTTTTCATAGTTTTCCCCATGTTTGATGTGTATACGAGCCAGTTTCCCTTAAAAAGTCCTCTAGAGAGGCATTCTTTTCCTTAGGCTGGTGGTCCTCTAGTGCTTTGCCATAATTACATAAATCAAACCATCCTCATTTCTTGTTCTGTGTAACTTGAATCTCACCCATTCTTATGTCATCTGTGCTTACTCTTTTGGCCTCGAATCATCGCTAAATAAGTAGAGAAGGTGATCGTATACTCGGCTTCTGAAAAATGTAATGAATGTCACTTTACTCACTTTGTTTTGTTTGGATTCATTGGTTGTGCGTAAAGGCTCGGGAAAGTAAAGATTTTGTGATTTTGTGTGACGAAAAAAAAAAAAAAAAAAAAAAATGTAGAAATGGTAAAAATCTTTTAATGGAGTCTTCTTCAATGCGTTTAAGAAGGGGGAAATGTCTGGGAGGCTTTTAATATTAAGAATTTTTTAAAAGTTAAGAGGAAAAGAATTAAAAATTTAAAAACTTTTAAAGCAAGGCATTAATTTGTAACATGGTTCTAAAATTTTTATTAAATTTAAATATTTTTCTTGAAATATTTTTTTTTCTTTAAAATTTGTTTATTTTATTACGAATTCTTGTATATTTCATTGTGGAATGTCACTTCGTGGTTGCATCACTTTGATTCATTGGTTGTTATATCAGGCTGGGCTAAAGTTAAAGACAATTTTGATGTGACCTACATAGATCAGTTGCAAGGGTTTGTCTATGTTAGTAAGATGAAAACAGTCTCTGCATGGATAAATCCATTTCAGAATATAGCGGAGCTCATTCTTCAAATGCGTTTAAGAAGGGGGAAATGTCTGGAGTATTTTAAATGTTTTCAAAACCCAATTCTAAAAGGATAGGGGGAAAAGTACATGAGGAAACATGGTATGTTTTATTAAAATTTAAAGCACTTTTTCTGCATTATATTTTAAGGCTTTTAAAATTGTTTTTTTCTTTACTTAGTTTGAAATCTGTATAATTTGTATTTAAATTTATCGTTGATAGGAATTTACAAGCAGCAGTATGTGCATACTTTGATTTCGATTCTCCAAGAGATAATTTACCCAGAATGTCTTTTGTGAGAGATGTTACTATTGGAGATGGTGAAGCTGTTTCACCAAATATGAAGTTTGTAAAAACATGGTCAATTCAGAATCCAAGTAAGTTTTGCATAATGAGTATATTTTATAAATCAAAATTATTTCGCAAACGTAACATGTGCCGAGTACAGTTTTATTAAAAATTTGAAATGCTCATGCCCCTAAATATCCACGTAAAATTTTTCATTTAAATGATTTCTTTTGCTTGATTAACTAACAAAATTGTAAAACTGCATAGAAAATTAAATGTCAGTTTTTCACATATATACATTAAAACTATGGGTACTTTTCCATTTTGCCGGCGCAAATCTTGCCGAGCAGAGTTTATTGGTGACAACAATACAGTATACACATAAAAAACGTTAACAAATGTTAGTTCTAAGAATTTTTTATTTTGAAGGCATAAATATTTTAATATCCTCCAATTAATAAAGACTATAAATTTGTAAAAAGACATTAATTTAAGAATTTACTATGCTTTCATGGTTCAACATCTTGATTTGCCGGTTCATATCACATGACCCTAAGTGATCTCGCCTCACGTAAACTAGGCTAGAAAAATATAATTCTCTTTAATTATCTACATTAATTTCAAGTTAAATCTTAATTTGAAATACAAGTTTGAATGGAAAAATCATTTCAAAAACGTTCGAATAGCTTACTCGGAAATTCTGTAAAACCGCAGTGCATTCTCAATTAGAATTGATGAATTTAACCCTTCACATTGCCTTTTCTATATTTTCGCCTTTAGGTGAGCAATGTGATTGCATCTTAATAGACTTATTTACCACAAATGGCCTTAGGGCATAAAAATTGAACTATCTGGTAAAAAAGTTATATGTAAGTGCGTGCTAATATTGAAAAAAACAATCAATTTGATAAGAAATGCCTGCGACTTGTTTTGAAAATGAGGTGTTAAAGGTTACCATCGAGGATATTCTATTGTACCTTTATTGCCTGCGCCGGCAAAACAGAAAAGTACCAAATTGTATACTAGTTCTCTGTGCATTGCATGTATACTTGGTACAGTATAAAGTCTGTAATTTGGATGTCCATTATCTGGAATGATCTATAATCCGGACCTCAAAGCCACAAACTTTTTTTTTTTTTTTTGTATGCTTTACGTATGAGCATATTGCGTTTATGCATGTGCGTTTAGCACAAAAAACGAAGCAACTTAAACAACTTACATTGAAAGAAATGTTTAATAAAGTAAACAAATAAATATTAAGCCTTTTTTTGTGTGAATTTTGATACCCTTTAGATCATAATTGCTCTTTATTTCATAAATTACGGTTTCATATTTTTAATTATACAATTTCTGCATGCCATCGTACCAGATTTAAATTGGTGATCTCGTAACGTTGCGCGCCTCCAACTTGCACGCAACCAAGAGGTGACTGTGAAAACTGTATAAAACAGAGTCTTGTGAAGGGTTTAAGTCCCTTTTTATTCAACGTAAAAATTACAATTGCGTGCTCTTGACGCTCACAGACTGTGCCAACTCGGCAGTCAAATAAAAATAATAACCTGAAAAGAAACTAAAGACAAGACTCTAACTACGAGGCTCTCTAAAATAACTAACTCACCGCGTTTTACAATACCGCTGCTAATTCAGCAGACTTGAAGCTCGCTTGAACGATTAACACTACTTCCCGCCAAGCACATAGGCTGAAACGCGGGGTTCTTCAATGTCTCGCTAACTACCTCCGCGCTCGTGAAGTAAGAATATCACACACTGAACTCGTTTCCTCTCTATTTAAATCATAATACTTCCGCTGATAATTTGAATCCTTGCGCGTTCTACTAAAATTTACATATTCTGGCATTGGCAGTTCCAGGGGAAAGTAAGGCTTGACAGGAAAGATAGTTTAAACTTAAAATAAATGTTAGTTAAAATAAATATAAACCCTACATTTGCCGCTGCCAGAATTTGGAAAACTTGGAAGCAGGTCCTACAAACGACCTGTTGTAAGTTTCTCTAATTCTGAACTAACTGGCGAGAACCTTGTTTACACAAAAAAATCTTATGTAACAAATTGTATACTAAATTCTGTTGATCGTTATAAAGCTCTCTTCTTACAGCAACTTTTCCTGGACTTCATCAATCAATCTTGGTCTTTCCTTCCAGCATCTGGAAGGAATAAGTATCAGTATCTTTCTAAATATATTATAATTTACACTTTCTTGACACAATAAATTTTTGTTTTTAACGATTCGTTTTTCTTACTTATTGCTTAATTCACATTCATTCAATTTTTCAAGCATTAATTTAACTTACCCTGGCTCTCCACCGTGTGTGGTGTCAAACAGGAATATTCGTGTTTTAGTCTTACCACTTATACCACCATTTGAAATAAACCAAAACCACCTTCTGCATTAAACTTGCTATTAATATCAGTTCTGTAAGAAAAAAACATATTCTAAAATTTCTTACCCTTGCGCAGGGGTCAATATGCCCACCTAATTAATATTATTTTCTCAGTTAGCAATTTCCGTTAGAAATTTTCTAATCTTTTAAAAATAATCTATTTTAGTTATTATTTTTCTCAGTAGATGTTACTACTATACCAGGGCTTAAGTTTATAAGCAAAAAATATTCAAAATAGGATCACAAGAGTGATATCCATGTATCTCGCATTTTTCAATATTTTAAAAATTTTGGTATACAATTTATGATATGTATGATTCTTTTTAATATTCAAAGGTATTTTATTTTCAAAAATCTTAATTGGATTCAATATTTTATAACATTAATTTTGCAGTTGAAATAAGTGGGTTAAAATTTGTCCCACCACACACTTGAATTTCCGCTCAATAGATGGCAGCACTCACGATTATTTTTTCTTTTCTTTTTTGCATCTACTTTTTTCGTGATTGCGCGCGCTTTTACATCCGTTGTATGCTCTGATGTGCTAAAATGTCTAGAAAAAAATTAACAACTCAGGAAGCTTTGGATCTTTTTGCTGAATTGCCATCCGATTGCGACTCAAATGCTTCAGATGTCAGTTCTGATTCAGATGAAATTGAAATCCAGGAGAGAATAACTGAGGTTGAAGTTATTGCTGCTGAAGAAGAAAGGGAAGTAGTTATAATTTGTTTCGCTTTTTAAAGACACAGACCCATCTATGCATGTGGCACTGTAAATATGAATCGGAAGTATCTACCCACAAATTTATGTCAAGAGGATATATAGACTTTTCAGTTAGCGATGATTCAATTTATTGCATAAAATGGAAGGATAAAAGATCCGTTTCTATCCTGTCTTGCTTGGAAAAGGCAACTGAAATGAAAGAAATTAATAGAAAGGAACGAGATGGAAAGACAAAAAAAAAAAAAAAAAAGTACTGTGCCCAAACAGCATTATTTCATACAATAAGAATATGGGATATGTCGACTGATTGATCAACTGAAAGGACTATATGAAATAGACCGCAAAAGCAAGAAATGGTGGCACATGATTTTTTTTTTTTTTTTTAGATGCAATTTATTCTATTTAAGTTTGTTCGCGAACCCGATCATGATGTAAAAACAATGAAAGATTTTCTTCTCTCAGTTATAGAAGGTCTAATGGCACTTGCAGGCAAGAAAGAGCTGAAAAGAAAACTGAAATCCCCAGTTCAAATAAAAACTAAAAACCTGTTCGTACAACCAGAAAAGAGACTAAAACATGTAAGTCACACCGCCAAAGAGAAGATGTGCATGTTGCAGCACAACGAAAGAAGAACGACGAACATTTTGGATGTGTGAAACATGTGAAGTCCCTCTATGCTTACAAAAGAATGAAACATGTTTTTCAAAGTTTCATGAAAAATGACTTTTTTTTCAATTTTTATCATATATAAATGTTTTTGAATCAAGTGTCAATTTTAATATTTTATTTAGTATCATATGTACGAGTATCAAATTTTAATCTTAAAATAATATTCAAGAAAATATTTTCTTTTGTTCCTAAAATTTAAAAATATTAAATATATATATATGCAAAATGTGCATATGCAAAATTTTACAAGTCATGCATATATGCAATAAGTACAAAATGCATTTTAGTGTGTTTATTATGAATATTTTAGAATGCACGCTTTATTTTGTTTATTCATTCCACATATGATTTTTTTTCCCTGCTATACACCAATATGCTATAAGACATGTGCTAGTTGCATGGTGGGACAAACGGTATCCCACCTTCCCCCGTAAAAAATAAAAGCGCAGAATTTTTTTTCAAGCCTTAAAGGCACTTAAGTAAGTCCATCTGACTTATTCTAAGGCCATTTTTTTAAAGATTAAAATATATTTTAAATATGCGTGTCGCAAAGGGTTAAACATGCAGGCTTTCGCTCTAAAGCATGACTTTATCTACAATTTAATACTTAAATTTTGACTTCATTGCTTTTAAGCATTCACTTTTAGCATCTACAATTTTATGCTTCTAGACTAAATTCTACTTTTACATAACATTCAAGTATTTACGTACATTTACAAAATTTTAATACATATGATTTTTACAATTTACCATAAAATGAATAAGAGAAAATAAATTTTTACTTTACTCATTCTTCGCCAAGCTGGCGGCACTGAAACTAAAATTCTTATTAATACAAGAATACGAAGTTATTTTTATCTTCGGCCAAATTTTGGCTTTAACATAACAGAATTAGTCTTTCGACCAACAGAAAATGCTTGTTTTTAGCTTTTACACTTAAAGAAAATAATACTTTTGCCTTAGCTAAATAAAGTAAAACAAAACTAAGTCTCAACCGAGACATATTGACTTTCGTCAAAACATAGAACTTCGTACTTATGCATAACATTTCGGAACAAAAGAGAAAAAAAATTATAGAAGGTTTTAACTTATCTTTGAGTTTTCGATGCTTGAAACTCCGTCATTCGTTTTTTTGGCAAATTGGTCCCAAGTTAGAGGTTTCATGGATGTTAATCTTCTCCTTACTGCCCTCCGAGTGTCGTCCACATTGACTTTTTCTTTTGCGTCCTCTACATGCTGGCCTCTTGGCGGAGTAATCATCTGGTTGTTGGCATTTCCGTTTCTCCCTGGGACGGCT